AGTTGTTATTTTGGGGTTTCTAATATTCACACATGAGGTATTAAACAAATGCTATTTTCATTTCATAGTATGAATTTTGCATAAATTCAATTGAAGCTAGATCTTTTCAATAATTAAATACCTATCCTCGGAGGTGGGGGGAGGGGAGTAGTAAGCAGGGTCTTACTTACAATATGATACAATTTACTTAGCACCTCACATTGTGAGGATATCTAAAAACGCTTTGCACAGCTGGCTGGGTACCTGAGCAGGTGAGGTTGGAGCTGAGAGGTTGGAAGGATAATTTAAAGCAGGGTCAAAGAGATAAGTCAAGATGGGCTTTAAAAGTGTGGAGGGAGGGGGCGAGTTGGAGGACTCCAAAATACTGTCCCAGAGGTCAGGGCACAGAATGACTGAAAACATGTCCAGATAGTTGGATGGATCAGGTGAGGGAACATGAGGCAGGCCGATGCTCACTGAGCGAAGGAAGTGGCCAGGTCAGCAGCAGTTTGTGGGGGGGGTGCAAGATCATGGAAGGTTTTGGTTGTCAGCACAAGGATTCTGAATTTGATCCACTGGGGATGGGGAACTGAGTGAGGATATGCGTGATAGCCTCACAGAGTCCGTGCAAGCGAGGACACAAACTACAGACTTGCCTATGAATGGAATTTTGGAACTGAGCTGAACCGCTGCCTCAATCATTTGGGGCCCTGCCCTATGGAACTACATCTTGGGAGTCCTCTGACTCGTCCCTTCCTCCCAACTTTTAAAGCCTGCCTTGACTTACCTCTTCGACCATGTTTTCAGTTATCCTTCCCCTCCCCCAGTCGGTCCACCCTACTCTCCCCCGAGGATAGGGTAGACTTACATGCTAGTTTTGACAATGGCAAGCTTCACAATTTTAGCTGGTATGTTTTGTAGAATTAAAAATACACCACAAATTGAATAGGCAGATATTATTTCACAGAAAATATTTAACAGGTCCTCAACATAACAAGAAAGTAATCACATCTATTATTTCTTGCATTGCTAAAAGTACATTCCAGCATATTGGTATAAAAAAGATTGAAAGATACAGCTTTCAAAACAATTTAAAAGTAACAGTTAAATAAAAGACAAGAATGAAAAGAAAACAAGTTCTGGGATGATTATTCAATGAGGTTCCACCCACTCAAGTCTTTTTACTGGAAGAGAGCTCTATCAAAGCAGTCTCATTGATGGAGCTGATGAACTCTGTTGGCTTTGGTACAGTAACGCATGCTCCAAAGAACAAACACACAGAGCTACACAAGCTTTTAATTCATATTTACAACAACAAATAGATGTTTGTTCCATGCATGTAGTTTTAAAAATGTGACAATCCCCATAGAAAATAGTCAACCACATTAGCAACATATGTTTATTGTTAACGATCAGACCAATAAACAATACAGCTGTCTCCACTTGGCAGCTACTTTTTTTTTAAAAAACGAAATGGGATTTTTTTTTCCTGTTTGCCGTAAGCCACCTGATCACTGCCAGGAACTGGAATGCAAAGCATTCCCTGGAGTAACTACTGACGTCAGCAGCAGATTCCAAAAATTGGCAGTCACCCGCGTCTGGAAATTCCAGTCTACAACATTTGCACTTTTCAGTCAAAACAGGTCCCAGCCTACAATGAGGCTAGATCCAATAGCATGCCGTGATTCTTTGCTGTGATCGCAGAATATTGCATTATCTGCAGTTCTAACAAACCCACTAAATAATATATCCTAAGACTGCCCATCTATTGGAACATAAGTTTAAATCTCAGCTTGTGAATTCACTTTACAGTGTGTCCTGTGAAGCGCTTTGGGACGTCCTCCCGACGTGAAAAGCGCTATATCAAATGCAAGGATTATTATTATTATTATTATTTTATTCTACTTAACGTTAAATTGATTTTATACCAATGTACCAAGATTGAAATGGACTAAGCAACAGGGTAGGCTATTCAAAACAACTCTACCATTCTATTATTTCTTGCACCTTGATAAAAATGCCCACAAACAAAGGTTCATTCATTTCTGGAAATCAAAACTAAGATCCCACAGAACTAAGATAATCAAAACTAAGATACAAATACAGGTTTTGATGGCTTGAGCTTCCATACACCTTTCACAAATCTCAAAACAAAGAAATGCTCTCACAAACAAACTGATGGAAGAGAGGAATGGAAGACAGAAATCATAGAATCATAGAATTATACAGCATAGAAAGGAGGCCTTTCGGTCCATCGTGTCTGTGTCGGCTCTTTGAAAAGAGCTATCCAATCCAATCCCACTCCCCACTCCCTCCCCATAGCCCTACAGACTTGTCCTCCCCAAATAATTATCTACTTCTCTCGTAAAAGTTGTTATCAAATTGGCTTCCACCAACTTTTCAGGCAAGGCATTCCCGATCCGAACAACTCGATGTGTGAAAAATTCTCACCTCCCGTTTCTTTTAACAACTATTTGAAATTGGTGTCCTCGGGTTACCGACCCACCTGCCAGTGGAAATAGTTTCTCCTTGTTCACTCTATCAAATCCCCTTATAAGTTTGAAAACTTCTATTAAGTCTCCTCTTAATCTTCTCTGCTCCAAGGAGAATAATCCTAGCTTCTCCAGCCTCTCCTGATAACTGAAGTCTCTCATTCCTGGTACCATCCTGGTAAATCTCCTTTGCATCCTCTCCAATGACTTGACATCCTTCCTAAAGTGTGGTGCCCAGAACTGAACACAGTCTCCAGCTGAGGCTTAACCAGTGTTTTATAAAGGTTCATCATAACTTCCTGACCTTTCTATTCTATGCCCCTATTGTTAAAGCCTAGTATCCCGTCGGGTTTTTTAACAGCTTTATCTACGTGTCCTGCCACCTTCAAATATTTACATATATGAACCCCCAGTCAAACAGTCGTGGGTTGAGTGACCACATTTTGTTTTAAGGGAATTGATTGAAAAATGTCAGTAACATTCAGCTTTACCTGTGCAAATGTAATTTTGTTGTTTCTTGTTGTTCTTGTTGCTTCTTTCATATAAAATAAATCATAGAATAGCAATAATGTGGAGAAACAAATTCCCAGAATGACCAAGACACAACATACTTCACTAATCTGTCATTTCTTGTGGGTTTAACAGACTAGTCATTAGAATTGTTTTTATGCAAAACAATAGAACCCTAGAAATTACAGCATTGAAGGGGCCAATTTGACCCAATGAGTCTATGTTGGCTTTGGCTATTCGCCATAACTCCGCCACATATCTGCCATTTACTTATCAGCTGGAGATGAGGAAGCACCCAATTATGAAACAGCACTGATGGGAAGTGACTGTAAGTTGACGCACAGAACATCACTGGCATCAGGCACATGCAAATGCACCCCCTAATTTCTTTCCACTTACACATTCAGTTGGAGATTTATTGCTATTCAGATAAAAGTTAAGAGCCTTCACAGAAAGACTAGTGAAGAATGGCAACAACATGCATTTTTTGTGTAGAACTTAATTTGGATCTGCGCTATGGGAAGCTTATTATATTGATCATATTATTAACATGGGAAGCCAACATTATATAACATATACAGGAAGTGAAATTTGTTGAATCTACAAGCAGATTTGTTATATTTTTAGTGGGTGTGGCATCCAACCCATCATGGAAGGAATGGCATTTCCTAAGCATAGGTCTGGACAAGTTTAAAATGAGCATTCTTTCCTGGCTCCATTTAAAATATACATAGTTAAGCACTGCACAAGATTCTTAACTCACCAGACATTGTAAGGGCTTCAATGATGGTTTCAACTAACTTCAATTAACCCATGGGTTGCCAAATACTGATGGGAAATGTGTGCTCCCTGGTGTTGTTACTCTGAGATAAAAAATCTCTCATTACAGTAATATCATCACTGAACTAACAAGATTAGCTTTTTAAACTTCTTTTCAAAAAGTGAATTCTGCCTTGTTTCAAATACAGTATTCCCTCCACCTCTTTTTTAAACTGTATAAATGTTTTACCATGGATGTCAATTTAACGGATACCTTATTTAGCTGCTCCCTGCAATCGGATGTATGGGTCCCTGATTCAAGAGTATACAGAAAATGAAGAGATTCAGCAGAACAGCCAATAAAATGGCCAGGCAGGAATTTTTTTTATATTACACAGGCATTAAATTGCAATATCTCCAAAACTTTTCTTTTGAATATTCAAGATCTGAAATAAGCATCACTTATTGATGGCTGCTCTAAAAAAAGTATTTTGTTACATAAAGCATTTTTTCACAATGCTTTAATACAGTAATATGATTTAACTTCCCAGAAACAACAACAACTTGCACTTATATAGTGCCCTCCACGCAGGGTAGAGTCTCAGAGTGCTTGCAGTAAATGCTGCGAAGAGTTTGAAAAGTGATTTCAAAAAGAAAAATTAAGATAGAAATAATAGTTTAAAAAATTAAGCTGCATTTAGTACAAACAAAATGCAGGATTGAGGTGGTGAAAGTGTTAATAATGATTGTGTGAAGGATTTTTCAGTGACTTCATTAGTAATCAGAGAAAATTGGGCTTTCAGTGCTGTAAATTTAAGTTTTTCATTTTGATATAGCACGTTTTCCAATCATTCATGATACTTCCAAAACAAAGTATCATGGATGATTGGAATACATTCTGTTTTTGCCAAGTGCAACAAGAATAGAAGGGAATCACATACTGGTAAACTGCTCTATCTACATGGAACACAGGAAGACATCAGGTCAGTACAACCTTGTCAAGAGCAATACATTTCAATAAAACCTTGAGTAAACTCTTCGTACAATGTTTTTTCTTTATAATTCAGAGGACTGGTGGATCATAAACTTAAACATTCTGATGTGCGTTTATTATTAATGGTAAATTTTTGTTCATTAATCCTTATCTGATCATTGGCAACATTGATTCAGCACCAAAAAAGTGATGTTTATTTCAGATCTTATTAGTATTAAAAGTTACATTTGCACTCGTGCAAAGATAAATTAATCTGAGGCACTTACCATGGTGAGTGGACATGGACAAGATCTCCTGAAACAATCCTGAGATGGGATGCAGTTTCTCTTGTAAATAATACCTTGAGTGGTGCTTGGGTGGAAGTGCCCTCATCCTCACCAGTCTGGTCTATGGAGGTTTCGATCAATGGTTGACACAAAGTTACAAGCATTGAACACTCCTCATGCAAATCCAAAATTTTCAGCACCAGAACACCAACTTTTCCAGCTGTAATAGAGAAATTATATGTTGACAGGAATGCACATTATACCAGTCTCTCCAAAATACCTTACAGAACTCACTCCCCAAATATCTTGCTCCTCTCTCCTGGCCTTCAAAACTCTTATTAAAAAGATTTTTTTTAAAAGATTCATTTGCAAAATGTCAGGAGGTCCAGAAAAATGTATGACTGTCACTTTTATTTGTCAGCTTTAATGAACTATTTATCTCGAGAGCTATGCTGTTGAAGGTAGGCTTTGAAGACAGAAATGCAATGTCATATCTTCTATCTATATCACTGTAGATGTTCAATTTAGCAGATTAAAGAATCAATTTTTCCTCAGCCAATAGAGAGCTATTAGAACTACTGGTTTTACTAATGATCCACTAATTGAGATAACAGAGGGACCAAATGTAAAAATTAACAGACCATTAAGAGCCACCACTCAATACTGTAGTTCTACATCATCTAATAACATTTTAGCAGTTAGTTGTTTTGGAAGACTGCCAAAGATTTCCACAACACCTGAAGCGAAGAAATAATAATTTGATATAGCGCCTTTCACATCAGGAGGATGTCTCAAAGCGCTTCATAGTATACATCGTAAAGTGGAGTGATCGTACTTTGCAGCCGAACACAGCAGCCAATTTGCACTCAACAATGTCACAAAAACCACAAAGTAAATGACCAATTTTATTTAGGAGATTTTTGGCCAGAACACTGGGAGAAACACCCTTCCCTTTTCAAATTGTGCTTCTACACCCACCAGAACAGGATTTGAGACCTTGGTTTAATGTCTCATCCAAAGGACAGCACCTCCAACAATGCAGACAACCCCAGTACAACATTGCAATGTCAGAATAGACGGAGTTTCAACACCTGACATAGAACCCACAACCTTCTCACTCAAAGGCGAGGAGAGGCTAACTGAGCCAAACCAAAGTCTGGATTGTTTAAAGATGAAGGTTCCATTTATGTCAAATTAATTTGTTTTTTCTCAAGGTACTCATCACAGTGCAACCCAGTCACAATGCAGTGTTTCAGATACAAAACAATTTAGAGATTGCATTACAATATGTTCCCAAAAATATCGGTCAGTCCCACCCCTGGCATGTACCAGCCAGCTTCTTGCAGATGTGCTTACAGCTCAGAGGAAGTTTGTGCCAGTTTGTGCTTAAAGTCAGAAATGTACCGTTGTTGTAATCAGATGACTATAGGATACCTGTTTATAAGAAATGTTTTGGTCTGGCAAGGCATTTAAATCAATGGGTTCTCCTGTACGATATTCCACACACTGATCAGGTTTGACCTGCCAGATCTGCCACATTTGGTACCTGTCCAGACCAAAGAGCAAAACCAAATGGCTTCATGGTTATTTATTATACAGCAGTAATGCTATCAGGGCAGTGTTTTAGTGATGTGGATTACTTCTCTGCTGAAATAAAATACAATGGTGGAACCTTAAGTCCGTCCATTGATTATGTACTGGTGTGTACATCTGTACTCTTGTAGTTGGGTGAATCAGTGAAAGAACATCAGACACCTGACTAAAAAACAATGACAGAGAAGCTAACATTCTAGCTTTCAGACAATCATTTTAAGCTGTTCACATTTTTTTTAAAAAGGAAGCGAAATAGATGGGGAAGGACAAACCTGGAAAAACAACTTTTAGAGCCAATGAAACCTCAATTTGTTCAACCGTGTTACTATCTGCTAAATGCAAAACAAATAGATTTTTAAAAAAGAAACAAAGCTGTAGAGATGTTGCTAAATTTAACATTAACATAAAGGTAGAACAAATGGGAAATATGTGGGGGGGTAAGGAAAACAAAACGAGCAGAACGTTACACTTTTTAAATTAATTTGTTGCTGTTTAAACTTAATATTAGAATAATACTAGTTACTCCTGGCATTCGACTATCTCTCACTGTAATATCTGTGCACATCTTAGAAACATAGTAAGTGAGCTGAAAACTGAAAATCAGCTAACCCAGGGAGAAAATAATTTGTTTGGATCTGCGTAAGAGTTAATATCATAACGAATGTGGTTCCAAATAACTTCTGGCCTGTATGTGGAGTTATGCTCATACTGCTCTGCAACTCACAGAAAAATACCAGTTGAGACAACATTTATAAACATACTTGAAGTGTCTGACAGACAAATGCTCCTTCATGCTCTGCAACAATGTCTTAGTTTACAAGCCGTGATTCTACATAAACAGATGGTTTTCATTAAAATTGTGTTAATTTCAAGTTATTTTAAAGAAATGCATGTCTGATGTGAAGAAACAAACAGTTTTATGTAAAAAAGTCTTAAGTAATTTTGTTTGTTACAAACTTGGTTCTAACATTATGTCAATAATATAATTTTAGCATCAATTCACAAATTACTGTCCACTTTAGTGGTCAGATGTACAAACGAATGCACAAATAAACTATTATTTACAAATGCAACAATTTCACATTTACATAACACCTTTCATATTAGTAGGATCTCTCAGAGCACTTAACTACAGATCCTTTTCTGAATTCCACACCCATCAATTTCTGACACGTGCCTTCCCAGAGATAGATTGTAAGAATGGAATGGAACATCACAAAGATGATACCAGAACTGAGAGGTTATACCTATGAGGAAAGGTTGAATAAGCTTGGACTCTTTTTCTCTTGAAAAGAGGAGGGTAAGGGTGACCTGATAGAGGTCTTTAAAATTATGAAAGGTTTTGACAGGGTAGAAATAGGGAAGATATTTTCACTTGTGGGGGAGACCAAAACCAGGGGCTGTATAGTCACAAATAGATCAAATAGGGAAGTTAGAAGAAATTTCTTCACACAGAGAGTAGTAAGAATGTGGAACATGCTACCACAAGGAGTTGTTGAGGCAAATAACATAAATGTATTTAAGGAAAAACTAGATAGGTACTTGAGGGAGAAAGGAATAGAAGGTTAATCTTGAAGCTTAGTTGAGGAAGGGCAGGAGGAGGCTCATGTGGAGCATAAACACTGACATAGACCAGTTAGGTTGAATGGCCTGTTTCTGTGCTGTATATTCTAATATATTCTAATGTAATGTGCACTCTCTTCCTGGAGGGACACATCCTGCTTACCTAATTCCAGAAAGTATTAGGCACAGGTTGGCAAGAGCCAAGGCTTGGGGACCCCAGAGTATGCGTTGCGGTACTGTTGGAGTCTAAACAACTAAAACCGCATAGCTTGCCATTAATATTCCTTTCTAGCAATCTTTCCTGCTGCTTTTCCAGCTACGACCACCCTACCTGTTAAGGATTGGCTTGCGGGGTTAACAGGAGCTAAGTTGGGATGTCTCCCTGGTCCCAGGGACTGGTTTGCCCTTCCAGGTCCTGTCAATGAGCCAGGCTGCCACCAGCAGTGCCCTGGAATACTGCAGACCGGCCTGGCTCAGGAACTGGACTAACAAGACCACCACAGAGGGCTGGCTTGATTCTGACATTGCGCTGCCAGACACGTCACTTTGGAGCCAGTTCAGCTCCAAGGAGACCCCCCCACCACCTGAGGATAAAGCTATCAACTTAGATCATTATAACGCTGAACTAGATTCATAATAGAAAATATTCCAAAATCCATCATACACACAAAGCTTCCTGTTGTCTTTTTTCGAAATGATTATATAACAAATACCAATGATTGTTTTGCAAAACAGTTATGGTTTCTCTGCAAGCAAAATATTTACCATGAGCTAACCACAGACCCTGTTTTATTTGTGTTGGGCACCTAAAGCATTTCCTTTTGGAAGATTTGATTTATTTAAGAGACTTTTTATTTCAGCAGCTGGGTTTTCTTTTCTTTCTTGTCATGATTTGGGTTTTTTTTTCCAGAAAAAAAACCTAACTTTCAAGAGAGAATGCATTTAAACAATATTTTAGACACTTTGGAATCTATGTAGAAATAAGAAGAAACCATCCAGATTACTCAATCACTATTCTATGTTGAAGATCCATACAGTATTTTCTTCAATGATACACATTTGAGAGTATTATCCATTGTTCCCCACTAAATCAGAAATCGGCCCTTTGCTATGTAAAGGTTTTGGCTGACGCGTTATATACTTCACTGGCCCAATAAATAATCAAACAATTCTGAAGTGTTTTTGCTCATCTATTCTTTGATCTATAATTTTGCTCCCCTGCTTTCTTCTTGTTTGGGCAGAAAGAAAGCGTTGATTTGTACCAAACTAATTCTCATTATTATAATAATAATCCTTGCGTTTGATTTAGTGCCTTATCATTATAGCCTAAATATATGGAATCTGTGCCTCTTATAAGCGCTCTGAGACACTACTCTGCATGGAGGGCGCTATGTAAGTGCAAGTTGTTGTTGTTCTGTCTTCTTTCAATCTGTATAGTCTATATTCCTCAGAGCTGACAAAGTTACAAGATGATCTGACTGAGGTTTTTTTAAATAATGAAAGAAATTGACAAGGTAGATAAAAATAACAACAACAAGATTCCATTTATAGAGCGCCTTTCACGTTGGGAGGACGTCCCAAGGCGCTGTACAGTTGGGTCAGGACCCGAGCAAGGGGGAAATAGTCAGGGTGAGGGGAGGGAAGGGAGGGAGCGAGGAGGGGGTAGAGAGTCGAGAGGGGAGCTGAAGGCACGGTCAAAGAGAAAGGTCTTGAGACCGGCCTTGAAGGAGGAAAGGGAGGAAGCAAGGCGAAGGCACTGGGGTTGGAGTTTCAGAGCCTCGGGGCTGAGAGGCTGAAGGCCCGGCTACTGATGGTAGGGCGGTTGGTGTGGGGGATGTGGAGCAGACCGGAGCCAGAGGAACGGAGGGTACGGGCAGGTAGGTAGGGGGATAGTAGGTCGGAGAGGTAGGAGGGAGCAAGGCCGTGAATGGCCTTGTAGGTGAGGATGAGGATCTTGAATTCGATCCTCTGGGGGATGGGGAGCCAGTGGAGGCGAGCGAGGGTGGGAGTGATGTGGTCGCGAAGCCTGGTGCGGGACAGTACACGAGCTGCAGAGTTCTGAAT